TGAGCGGGCGGTGCAGCGTATGAGCGGGCGGTGCAGCGTATGAGCAAGCAGTGCAGCGTATGAGCGGGCGGTGCAGCGTATGAGCGGGCGTTGCAGCGTATGAGCGGGCGGAGCAGCGTATGAGTGGGCGGTGCAGCGTATGAGGGGGCGGTGCAGCGTATCAGCAGGCGGTGCAGCGTATGAGCGGACGGTGCAGCGTATGAGCGGGCGGTGCAGCGTATGAGCGGGTGGTGCAGCGTATCAAAGCATGGTGCAGCGTATGAGAGGGCGGTGCAGCTTATGAACGTGCAGTGCGGCGTATGAGCGTGCGGTAGGCTGTTGCGCTGTTAGGCTGTTACGTTGTTATGATGTTACGCTGTTGCGCTGTTACTCTGTTTGTTTGTTAGGCTGTTACTGTGTTAGGTTGTTACGCTGTTAGACCGTTACGATGTTATGCTGTTACGTCGATTGTCTGTTATGCTGTTACGTCGATTGTCTGTTATGCTGTTACATCGATTGTCTGTTACGCTGTTAGGCTGTTACACTGTTAGGCTGTTACGCTGTTAGGCTGTTATGCTATTAGGGTGTTACGCAGTTACGCTGTTACGTTGTTGCGCTGCTACGCTGTTACGTTGTTAGGCTGTTGCGCTGTTAGGCTGTTAAGCTGTTGGGCTGTCACGCTGTTAGGCTGTTACGCTGTTAGGCAGTTAAGGTGTTAGGCTATTTTGGTGTTAGGCTGTTAAACTGTTAGGCTGTTACACTATTGGGCGGTTACGCAGTTAGGCTGTTACTCAGTTAGGCTGTTACGCTGTTAGGCTGTTATGCTGTTAGGTTGTTATGCTGTTAGGCTGTTACGCTGTTAGGCTGTTAAGCTGTTAGGCTGTTACGCTGTTAGGTTGTTAAGATATTAGGCTGTTACGCTGTTTGGCTGTTATGTTGTTTGGTTGTTATGCTGTTAGGCTGTTACACTGTTAGGCTGTTACGCTGTTAGGTTGTTACGCTGTTAGGCTGTTACGCTGTTACGATGTTACGCTGTTACGCTGTAAGGTTGTTCCGCTGTTAGGCTGTTACGCTGTTAGTCTGTTACGCTATTAGGCTGTTACGCTGTTAGGCTATTACGCTGTTAGGCTGTTACGTTCTTAGGCTGTTAGGCTGTTACGCTGTTAGGCTGTTACACTGTTAGGCTGTTACGCTGTTAGGCTGTTACGCTGTTAGGCTGTTACGCTGTTACGCTGTTACGTTGTTACGTTGTTAGGCTGTTACGCTGTTAAGCTGTAAGGCTGTTAAGCTGTTTGGCTGTTACGCAGTTAGGCTGTTACGCAGTTAGGCTGTTACGCTGTTAGGCTGTTATGCTGTTAGGTTGTTATGCTGTTAGGCTGTTACGCTGTTAGGTTGTTCCACTTTTAGGTTGTTGCGCTGCTAGTCTGTTACGCTGTTAGGCTGTTACGCTGTTAGGCTGTTACGCTGTTAGGCTGTTACGCTGTTAGGCTGTTACGCTGTTAGGTTGTTAAGCTATTAGGGTGCTACGCTGTTAGGCTGTTAGGTTGTTAGGCTGTTACGTTCTTAGGCTGTTAGGCTGTTACGCTGTTAGGCTGTTACGCTGTTAGGCTGTTACGCTGTTAGGCTGTTACGCTGTTAGGCTGTTACGCTGTTACGCTGTTACGTTGTTACGTTGTTAGGCTGTTACGCTGTTAGGCTGTTACGCGGTTAGGCTGTTACGCTGTTAGGCTGTTACGCTGTCAGGCTGTTAAGCTGTTAGGCTGTTCCGCTGTTACGCTGTTCCGCTGTTACGCTGTTACGCTGTTACTCTGTTAGGCTGTTACGCTTTAGGTTGTTACGCTGTTAGGCTATTACGTGTTAGGCTGTTATGCTGTTACGCTGTTAGGTTGTTACGCTGTTAGGTTGTTACGCTGTTAGGCTGTTACGCTGTTAGTCTGTTACGCTGTTAGGCTGTTACGCTGTTAGGTTGTTACGCTGTTAGGCTGTTACGCTGTTACGTTGTTACGCTGTCACGTTGTTACGTTGTTAGGCTGTTACACTGTTAGGCTGTTAGCTGTTAGGCTTTTACGTTGTTACGCTGTTACGCTGTTACCCTTTTACGCTGTTACGCTGTTACCCTTTTACGCTGTTACGCTGTTAGGCTGCTACGCTGTTAGGGTGCTACGCTGTTAGGCTGCTAAGCTGTTAGGCTGTTACGCTGTTAGGCTGTTACGCTGTTAGGCTGTTACGCTGTTATGCTGTTACGCTGTTAAGCTGTTAGGCTGTTTAGCTGTTAGGATGTTAAGCTGTTACGTTATTAAGGTGTTACGCTTTTAAATTGTTACGCTGTTACGCTGCTACGCTGTTGCGCTGCTACGCTGTTGCGCTGCTACACTGTTGCGCTGTTACGCTGCTACGCTGTTACGCTGCTAAGCTGGTACGCTAGCTGTTACGCTGCTACGTTGTTAGCCTGCTACACTGTTAGCCTGCTACGCTGTTAGGCTGCTACGCTGTTAGGCTGTTAGGCTGTTACGCTGTTAGTTTGTTACGCTGTTACGCTGTTACGATGTTACGCTGTTAGGCTGTTACGCTGTTACGCTGTTAGGCCGTTACGCTGTTAGGCTGTTACGCTGTTAGGCTATTACGCTGTTACGCTGTTAGGCTGTTAGGCTGTTACGCTGTTATGCTGTTAGGCTGTTACGCTGTTAGGCTCTTACGTTGTTAGGCTGTTACGCTGTTAGGCTGTTACGCTGTTAGGCTATTACGGTGGTACGTTGTTACGCTGCTAGGCTGTTACGCGGCTAGGTTGTTACGCTGCTAAGCTGTTACGCTGTCAGGCTGTTACGTTGCTAGGCTGTTACGCTGCTATGCTATTACGCTGCTAGGTTGTTACGCTGCTAGGCTGTTACGCTGTTAGGCTGTTACGCTGTCAGGCTGTTACGCTGTCAGGCTGTTACGCTGTTAGGCTGTTACGCTGTTAGGTTGTTAAGCTATTAGGGTGCTACGCTGTTAGGCTGTTAGGTTGTTAGGCTGTTACGTTCTTAGGCTGTTAGGCTGTTACGCTGTTAGGCTGTTACGCTGTTAGGCTGTTACGCTGTTAGGCTGTTACGCTGTTAGGCTGTTACGCTGTTACGCTGTTACGTTGTTACGTTGTTAGGCTGTTATGCTGTTAGGCTGTTACGCGGTTAGGCTGTTACGCTGTTAGGCTGTTACGCTGTTAGGCTGTTAAGCTGTTAGGCTGTTCCGCTGTTACGCTGTTCCGCTGTTACGCTGTTCCGCTGTTACGCTGTTACGCTGTTACTCTGTTAGGCTGTTACGCTTTAGGTTGTTACGCTGTTAGGCTATTACGTGTTAGGCTGTTACGCTGTTACGCTGTTAGGTTGTTACGCTGTTAGGTTGTTACGCTGTTAGTCTGTTACGCTGTTAGTCTGTTACGCTGTTAGGCTGTTACGCTATTAGGTTGTTATGCTGTTAGGCTGTTACGCTGTTACGTTGTTACGCTGTCACGTTGTTACGTTGTTAGGCTGTTACGCTGTTAGGCTGTTACGCTGTTACCCTTTTACGCTGTTACGCTGTTACCCTTTTACGCTGTTACGCTGTTAGGCTGCTACGCTGTTAGGGTGCTACGCTGTTAGGCTGCTACGCTGTTAGGCTGCTAAGCTGTTAGGCTGTTACGCTGTTAGGCTGTTACGCTGTTAGGCTGTTACGCTGTTATGCTGTTACGCTGTTAAGCTGTTAGGCTGTTTAGCTGTTAGGATGTTAAGCTGTTACGTTATTAAGGTGTTACGCTTTTAAATTGTTACGCTGTTACGCTGCTACGCTGTTGCCCTCCTACCCTGTTGCGCTGCTACACTGTTGCGCTGTTACGCTGCTACGCTGTTACGCTGCTAAGCTATTAGGCTGCTAATTTGTTACGGTGCTAAGCTGTTACGCTGCTAAGCTGGTACGCTAGCTGTTACGCTGCTACGTTGTTAGCCTGCTACGCTGTTAGCCTGCTACGCTGTTAGGCTGCTACGCTGTTAGGCTGTTACGCTGTTAGTTTGTTACGCTGTTACGCTGTTACGATGTTACGCTGTTACGATGTTACGCTGTTAGGCTGTTACGCTGTTACGCTGTTACGCTGTTAGGCTATTACGCTGTTACGCTGTTAGGCTATTACGCTGTTACGCTGTTAGGCTGTTAGGCTGTTACGCTGTTATGCTGTTAGGCTGTTACGCTGTTAGGCTGTTACGTTGTTAGGCTGTTACGCTGTTAGGCTGTTACGCTGTTAGGCTATTACGGTGGTACGTTGTTACGCTGCTAGGCTGTTACACGGCTAGGTTATTACGCTGCTAAGCTGTTAGGCTGTCAGGCTGTTACGTTGCTAGGCTGTTACGCTGCTATGCTATTACGCTGCTAGGTTGTTACGCTGCTAGGCTGTTACGTTGTTAGGCTGTTACGTTGTTAGGCTGTTACGCTGTCAGGCTGTTAATCTGTTAGGCTGTTAGGCTGTTACGCTATTAGGCTGTTACACTGTTAAGCTGTTACGCTGTTAGGCTATTACACTGTTAGGCTGTTGCGCTGTTACGGTGTTAGGCTGTTACGCTGTTAGGCTGTTACACTGTTAGGCTCTTACGTTGTTAGGCCTATGCCTCCTTCTCGGTTGGATCTCGGCCTCTGCGTGTATGCACTACCGCTGCAAGGAGCCATGAACCCAATAGCCGAGCTATGGCAGAGCTACTGACCTCATAGCCAAGCCATGAACCCATTTGTTCACGATTGTTGTGAGTATTGATGGTCCTTTTCTTTTTTCCTGATTGAGTTGCTCAAGGAGATATACTTGCTGCTTCACGAAGAACATGTTCACACCACACCCTTTGGTAAAACCAACTTTTTAACATCCACAGCATTGTGATTTCAACTGCTACCTTGTCAACATCTACACTCTTATCTTTTGCTAGTGCAACACAGCGCATCAGTCCTTGACAAAACCCTCCCACTATCTCCACCCTCTCTGCACTATATCCTACACAGGCTCCACAATCACTAAATCCAAGCCAGCTCTACAGCTCGTACCCTGGAAACCTTGCTTCATTGGGTCGGCTCATGTCCAGAAACAGACAAGCAGGGCCACCCAGACCTTCCATGAGGGAGAACGGGTGATCCCCGCAGTGCAGGGTGCCTGCCTCCGCCAGCTGGCGCCAGTTGGCATGCAGGAAGCCAGCAAATGCGCGTGCTCTGTGCAGGTGACGTGTCATCAGCGCTGATGTGTCATTGTCTCCTGCTGTCTGAGCTCCGGGCGATGCTGAAGTGGCAGCCATAGAAGCTCCAGCGCCCTCGGCAGCAGCTGATCCCAAACCTGGGGCAGGGACGGTTGCCGAGCCTGCAGTTGTGGCTCGGTGGAGAGCCAGGAAAGTGTAGGCGTTGCCGCTGATGCCATGGCAGAGACCGACCCTGCGTAGCAAGCCTCGGTGCCAAACAACCTCTCCTGCCTCGATGGCTGCTTGCAGCAACTGGGGCTTGGACGGAAACAGCTGGTGTAAGGAGGAGAGGGCATTAAGGGCAGAGGAAAGGATGAGCTCTGGAATTGAGCGGTTCATGGCCAAAAGAACGGACTGAGTGCCAACAGATCGAGGTCTAATCACTTCAGACGCATGAGCTAAGGGGCCCACCATAGCAGCATGGGCGAGAGTGGGAGCCACACCAGGGGTTCCGTGGCACCAGTGCACCAACCGATCTGCCTCTTGCACCCCCCTCACCTCTCCCTCGCCCGTGCTTCCACCCCCACCCGCGATACCCCTAGCAGCAGCAGCAGCAGCACTGCTTTCTCGTTTGAGTGTGTTTCTGACTGCAGCAGCAGCCGCTCGGCTCTCCTCATCGCTCGCAGCATAGTTCCCGGAAGGCAGGCGAGTGGCCACTAGGTATTCCAGCGCTGCTGCTGCTGCTTCTGCTGCCTCCTCCAGTGTCCAGTCTCCCCTTTCCCTCGCACTGCCTCCTAGCACTGCTGCTTCCCTGACGCCTGCTGTTGCACCCCTCTCCTTCCCCACTTCCTCCAGTTCCGCCTCCTCCTCCAGTTCTTCTCTCCGTAGCAGCAGCAGCACGTGTACTATCCCTGCCACGCCGTGTGCTGCCCCCAGGTACCGAGTGCCGTACCACTCGTACATGAGAGGCGGGAGGGGACTTCCATCTGCAGAAGAAGTTTAAGTGGGGCATGTCAGCATGGATGCACGCAACGAGAATGAGTCTTTCTCATGCTGTGTTCTGCCCCCAGATACCGGGTGCCGTACCACTCATACATGAGGGGCGGGAGGGGGTGGCCATCTGCATTCAGCATGGGGAACAGGGGGCAGGACAGCATGGTTACATGCAACGAGAATGAGTCTTCTCATGCCAGCTGCTACCCCCAGGTACCGCGTCCCATACCACTCGTACATGAGGGGTGGGCGGGGACCATACCCCGCACGCCTGCACTCAGAAGTTCCACCATGCCTTTTTGTCTTCTTGCTTACCATGAGCATACATCGACGCAAGGGACAGCCCCGCATCCACAATGGCTTTTGAAGCGAGGTGACTTTTGAGCTGACTCAAACGCCATCTCTACAGTTCTACCCTGAAATCCTGTCGATGTGCTTACCATGAGCATACGTCGACGCAAGGGACAGCCCCGCTTCCACAATGGCAGCAGCAATGGGGCGGGCGAGAGACAAAGGAAGAAGATTCCTTCGCATATCCACAGGAAGGTTCCTGCGCAGGAACAGGAAGGCCCAGAGCATGCCTGCTCTCCCGTACAGTAGCTCGTGGGGGATGGTGGCTGGTGCAGTGTCGGTGGGGGAGGAGGGGAGGAGGGAGAGCGAGGGGAGTGAGGAGGTGAGGAGGGAGAGGAAGGAGCGGAGGTAGGGATTGGATTCGAGCTCCTCGTGCTGCTGCTGCTGGTGTTGGTGCAAAGGTTGCTGCGGTTGCTGCTGCGAGTGGTGCATGAGATGATGATGCATGACAGCTCCCAATGCAAGAATGCCCGGTTGACCACAGTAGAAGGTGTAATGCCTGATGGCATGGGGAGAAAAGGGAGGAGTGATTATGAGCGATGGGGGAGTGATGGTAGAGCAATGTAGGTACGTGAGCTGTTAGGAAGCACTGACAGCACATGCGAGTATTATAAAGCCAGGTGTGTTTTGAGTCGGCGCAAAACACAACTGACAGCATATAAACTGACAGCATATGCGAGTACCATGAAGCCCGAAACTAGGACAGGCACAGACAAAAGCCAGCACAGCTACCCACGTTCGATGGCGTTCCGCCATGTCAGCAGCAGCCCGGATGATGTCCGCAGCAAGTGCCAGGTCAGAAACATCGCCTGTGGCCTGATATGCTCTGAAGCACACCCACGCTGTCCCCAGCAGGCCCACATAGAGGAACGGGTCCCGCACCCTGCGAGCTGGCGCTCCGTTCGTCCATGTGGCTTGCACTATCTGTGCTTGCGAGGTGCAAGGGGGAGGAGGAGGATAGGAGGAAGAGGGTTGAAATAACAGAGGCTCTGAAGCACACCCAGGCTGTTGCCAGCAGGCCCACATAGAGGAATGGGTCCCGCACCCTGGGCGCTGGACCTCCGTTCGTCCATGTGGCTTGCACTATCTGTGCTTGCAAGGCAAAGGAGGGGGGGGGGGGGGGGGGGGGGCGCGAGCAGACGAGTGAGAAGAATGAAGAAAGGGGCCGCGTACCCTGGGCGCTGGAGTTCCGTTCGTCCACGTGGCTTGCACTGTCTGTGTTAGCGAGGCACGGATGAGGGCAAGGATAGGAGGAAGAGGGATGAGATAACAGAGGTTCTGAAGCACACCCAGGCTGTTCCCTGCAGGCCCACATAGAGAAACGGGTCCCGGACCCTGGCAGCCACTATCTGTGTCAAACTAAAGGGCGAAACGAAACGGAAGGCAGATATGCTTTTGTGAGGTGAAGAAAGGGAGGAGAGGGGGGGGGGAGGGAGGGGGAGGGTAAGGGAGGGGGTAAAGGAGAGGAGGAGGCGGGTGAGAAGAACGAGGAGCTAAGTGTTGGAGTGGTTCTAGACTAAAACTAAGCACCCCACCTGATCTTTCAGCTCCAAACCCGCTCGCAGAAACTCCTCCTCAGACGGAACAGCCAATGACGGCCCGACACCTGGCAGCGACGAACCCACCCTGCTCTCTTCTCCCCGCCCTTTCCCTGTTACAGTCACTCCTGTTTTCCCCGTTACATTCACTCCGCCTTCCCCCGTTACAGTCACTCCGCCTGCAGGGACCCCTAACTCCCGAGCCCTTCGTTCCACTTGCGCTACAGCAGCCTGGGAGGGGTCATAGTCGGCTAGCAGGTTGTGGAACCGGCGACCGTCAGCTATAGAAACCGGGAAGGCGGCCGCGCGTGCGCTTTCTGCTTGCTGCTGGGAGTTTTCCTGGTGGATCTGACGCCCGCTTTTTTCGCCTTGCCGGCCGCTGTGATGTTGCCGGCGATGCTGCTGGTGGCTCATGACTGTTACCAACGAGGATGTTTTCTCCGCTTGCAGCGATGGTTGTACGGGAGTTTGGAACGACGGGATATGCGCGGAGGAGAATGAGGACAAACGGGCGGCGAAGCGAGAAGCGGCGGCGGAGGCGGAAGAAGCGGAATAAGCGGACGCGGAAGCGGACGAAGGCGCGGAAGCGGTAGTACTACTAGGGAGAGCGGTGGGGACACTGCATCGGCGCGTGAGGGGCTGGGCGCGACGACATGGGCGTGCGAGAGATGAAAAGCTCCTTGCGGAAACCGCGACAGACAGCATTGACCGTTCTTCTCCCGCGCACCGAATGTCCGCGCTTTACTGGCAGAGAACGTGGGAAGAGAGACGACGAGGGAGGTCAGATAGACTGGAGGTGACGGGAGCGCGTCAGCAGAAGGCCGAGGAAAAGCATATACAAATGAAGTAGTTTCCGAATCTGATGCTTTCCTTCATGCGGTTTCGGCAAGGTGAGACACGTGGATAGGCAAAGACGACATGCAGCGACTCGAGGTAGGGGAAAAATTGCAGCGCGGAATTTGAAACATGCAGGGGGAGGGAGTGTGTGAGTGCACATGACATCTCTGGGCTTGGCGCAGGTTGGAACTTGGGTGTAGGGGGGAATGGAGAACGGGGCGATTTTGATTGCGTGGCGAAGAACGGACGAACAGACGAAGCAGGTTACACAGTTGTTTGAGGCTTGGACGGTTCTTTTTAACGCGTATGCCTCGTACGAACAAATCAACATAAGGTCATTCACGTACACCGCAGCTGATGTTGGGCTGGGGCGTGTTGGTCCACTGGTCATCCATCGCGGTTCAGTTTCAGCACCGCTTGAAACCGTAACGCACCAGTGAAAACCGTGGAACCTGGCTCGAAAAGAAACGAACCAGACACCCTCTCCCTCCCAAACTGTCAGAATCTCCTCTCTCTGACACACGCGATTCGAGTTTCCCTGCCACCAGCACCAGTCAACTTCGAAAGCCATTCTAAATACTTCTGAACCATATCACCCTGAAGATTTTTGGACTCGAGGCATTCATCACCTAGAAGTTATCTCAAACGCGTCGGTTTCACCGCCGTCTAAAAGTCCTTCCGCCTTGAACCCGTCGCCATCGACGCGTTGCCTCAAGCTACGCTACGACTCCAGCTTGGAATTCTCCTTACTACCTGGATTCTAGCGGAGGCTATTGGATGAGAATCGGTTTCGGCTATCCCTGTTAGCTACCACGGAGCAGTAATCTGTCGCTGGCGTTTTATTTATTGACTAAATTATCATTAGAGTCCCCGCAGTACATCACTAAGCGCTCGTCGAGAAACTATGGAGGATGAACATCCCCTGCAGCTGGCGGACGGATTCGCTAACACGCAAAACCTTGACCACTGTATCGCGTACCTGAACGAGTCATTGGTACTGCTCGGTCTTCCACCGACCCTCGCACTTCGATCCGATGAAGCGGTTAGTGACTCATCCAAGAATTTGTTTAATTAGTTCATGTCGTATCAGGTAATTACTAATTCATTATGCTTTGCAGGTTACTAATCAGATTCCAGACCTCTGAGCTGCTTGGATTTCGCTCCACAGAATGCTTCAGTCTCTTAAACATACGTCCAGGACCGCTTTCCCGGCAACCAGCGCTTGCTTTGTGTCATTGCATGTCGCATGAATGTTCGCAGGCGTCCATGGCGACGGCGTGCGACTGCATCTACCAGCTAGTGCAGCAGCGACAGGCGGATGCGAAACAGCTCGACGACCTGGCGAAGCAGCGACACCGGCTCATGTGCGACCTGGCGACGGCGGAGAGTCGCTCGGATCGTCTAGAAGACGAGCTGGAAGTCGCAAGGCGAAAAATCCAGTCGCTTACAGCGCAGGTGGGGGTGTGGGCTGGGAGCAAGAGAGAGAGGAGAAGGAGGGGGATAGATGGGTTGGAATGGACGAGATTGGGTGGGAATGGGTGCAGGAGAGTGGTAAACAAGCACAGCCGATATCATCATGCACAAGAGAATGAGGAGATAATCCAGTCGCGAGCCCTGCTTCCAGCATCAGAGGAAATTTCTGTGTGTATCGTGTTTCTCGTCTCATTGTAACTCGCATCGTCTCATCTTCTCCCATCTCACTCTCATCTCGTCTTCCGGCGTGTTCTATGAATCGACTCGTCGCTCTCCAGGAGCAAAAGGCGGCGGCGGAGTTCAAGGCGTAGATCAAGAAGCTCAGCAAGCAGCTTTGCGATTAGTAATTACTAATTCAGCAAGAGCAGAGAGGGACGAGCTCAGCAAGCAGCTTTGCGGCGCCTCAAAAAGGGTCATCCCATTCGACTCTCGTTTCATCTCTTATTGCCTCTCTGCGTGTCCTGTGGATGGACCCACCAGGAGCAAAAAGCGGCGGCGGAGTTCAAGGCGCAGATCAAGAAGTTAAGAGCAGAGAGGGACGAGCTCAGCAAGCATGTCATCGCCCTGCAGGTGAGTCAGCAAGTCCTGCAGGTGACTCAGCAAGTCCTGCAGGTGAGTCAGCAAGCCCTGCAGGTGAGTCAGCAAGCAGTATCCTCGATACTGTTATATCCTCGAAACTCTTCTGTCCTCGATACTGTTGTATTTGACTCCATCCAGTCCACCATCTCACTCACTGCTTCTTTTCGGCGCCTTTCCGAGGCGCCTTTCGGCGCCTTTCCGGCATCTTTTCTATACGTGTATTCACCACGCTCGTCCCACCATCCACCCACGCCTCTCCCACCCGCCCCCTGCAGCAAGTGAAGGCGCAGCAGGCGTTCGAGCTGCGCAAGGAGAAGCGCGAGTTTGTGAAGCTGCAGGAGAAGCTCGCGTCTTGCGTGGGGGGCAAGCGCACGCCCCCCAGGCAGCCGGGAGTGGATATTGTCAACCTCAATCCCCAGGTACAGTGCGGTGGACTGTGGTACGGAAGTGCGCGTTGCAGTGTTGTGCTGTGCTTCGCATAGGAGAGGCTAGGGTTGTGCGTGGGAGGCAAGCGCATGCCCGCCAGGCAGCTAGATGTGAGATCCTTCTTCCCTTCCACCCAGCCTTACCCAACCTTGTCCCTCCTATCCCAACAAATGCGTACCCCATCCTTGTTCCCCTGTACTCCCCTGTTCTCTGTGTGTTGCAGTCAGAGGGCAGGCAGAGGGCCACATGGGGCGGGAAGAAGTCAGATAGCAACTTTTACAAGCGCATGGTAAGCGTGAATCCCTTGAGCGTCGCTAGGTTCAATGCTACGTTCTTAAGCGTCGCATCGTAGGTGTCACTCTGCTAAGTGCCTTCTTTGATCATAATCACTGTGTTAAGAGTCGAAGCTGCTTCGACTCTTCCCACATTGCTCTCCTGTTCCCCCCCCTCCCCCACCCCCACTTAACCCCTCCATGCGACACCAGTCCAGACCTTGTTGCGACTTCTTTACAGGCTCTTTTCCTCTGTCCTCCCGTTCATTGGTACTCGCTCCTCTCTGTCCATGCATCATCTTTCCCCACTGTCCCACTGGTAACAGATGGAGGCGCATGAGAGGCAGCTGAGGGCAGTGGGGGAGGACAGCAAGCAGCTCATGGCAGTCATTCGCTCCATGCAGGTACACCCAAACAAATGGACAATATATGGAAGTTGTTTATTCGACCCATTGGTAATTTTTCTTTATGGCTATTATTTATTGTAATGTTATTACAAATCCAGTGCCTGCTTGCAAGGCTCGTGTCTCAAATTCACGTGCCCTTGTTCCTGCTACCCCTCTCATTGCAAAATGTCGCTTTTTTGGATCTGTTTCTTCAGACGGACCTCCAATCACTCATTAGCGAGTACAGCAAGGGCCTGCCCTCGTCAGTAGGAGAAGGGCAGCAGAAGGAAAGGAGGCATGAGAAGAGTTTCGAGGAGGAGGGAAGCAGAAGGGACGCGAAAGAGGAGGATAGAGGGAGTGAGTGTGGTTCGGAGAGGGAGGAGGAAGTGGAAGAAGAGGAAGAGGAAAACATGGTGAGTCCTCTTGAGAACAGGAAAATGAACATTTCCGTCTGCTCAAGTTCCACGCCCCTTTGAAAAAAATCCCACGCTTTATGTTATTGCTGTCCTTTCTTCATTTCCTGCAGTTTCTTTCTTTTCCTCAAGCTTCTGTCCCCACTCTTTCCCCCACCAGGACGTGTACGCCCTGCCACCCAACATGGCCTGTCCACACATCATGGATCTGCACCAACGCATTGTGACGGCCATGCGTGTATGTACCGCCCAGTGAATGATTCATTATTAGTAAAGACCAGCGTGATTTTAGAATTGTCCCACCCAGTATTTCCCCTTTGTGGAATCATTGCTGCGGTCGCCATTTTTTTTTCCTCCATTGTGTGTTATGATATAAAAAATCTCATTTGCCCACCCCGCTGTTCCCTTCAGGATCTCGTCCAGAGAGCAGCGCAGCAGCAGGCAGCCTCTGCTGCAGTGGGTGGTGGCTGTACCGGAGGGGACAGTAACGAGATGGCTGCTCTGAGAGAAGAGCTGGAGGCGTGCAGAGAGCGTTTGGCCGAGCAGGTATGTGTGAGGAGTCTATGTTTGAGGCGCGTAAATAATGCGGATTGTAACGAGGATGGAGCACACTGGGAGGGGAGGGGCAGGGCGGGGGAGAGTGGTAAGGGATGGAAGAAGGGGAGGGAGTGGAGCAGAGGGGAGGAGGAGATAGATAGATGGGCAAAGAGGGGTAGTGGATTGGGTGGTGTGCTGGTGTGGGGATGCTTAGGAGTGGAAGTGGAGGAGAGCTGGAAAGAATTATGATAATTCTCGGCCTTGGAATTCTGACCGTCGTTGCTGCTTTTCCCTTCTCCCTGTACCCTCCCTTCCAGGAGCTCCTGATATGCAACTACATGCACACCCCAGGGTGAGCTCCTGATATGCAACTACATGTATGTTGAGGTGATGCGATACGAAGTTTATTGGTATATGCTGTGAGATAATGTGTGTGTCAAGACAGTTGATTCGAGCATCTCGTGAGTCTTTTAGGTCGTCCTGCACATTATCCATGATGCATTTGTTAGTGTTCTCACGGCCCCTCTCGCGCTGCATTTTTTGCTGTACCAGGAGCGCTAAGAAGACGCCCTCCAATAGGAGAGGGGATTTGACGCCACTCTACACCGCCCAGCCATCCTGGGCTAGTTGACAAAGGCGATAATGTAGGCTCCCTACAAGGTCCAAGTTCCAGCATTTTGCTGGAAAGGCTGATAGATTGGTCCCTTCACTAGTACATGGTTAAAAAAATAAGATAGTGAGATTCATAGCCAGTAAGGAGCACGTAACTTCACATGTATTTTTAGTGTCTTAATTGCTGATCCAGGTGGCTCCAAACCTAGGTTATTACTGTGAGCGTATTTTTTTCCCGCCAACAGACGTCCCATCTGCAGTAATTGCTGCTCTGCCACAGTCAGCACGAACCTATTGCATGACGTAAGGGTCGAGTTGCGGGCGCATGCCATCCACGTGAGGAATGAAGAGTTGTTCCTTGGACGAGTTGAGCTAGCTAACTGCCACTTGTGTCGTTTTCAGGCTGGGTGAGCTGTGCAGCGACAGCTCTGTCCCGTAGCGGACCAGGGTGGCAAAGCAGTCCCCCTCTCGGACTCTCTCCTTCCTCCCTGGTTGCCTACGGCGGTTGTTTGCGCCACAGGTAATACACCACCTTCGCAGAAGTAATCAGAAAATTTGGAAGGTCAATTACGACTGAGAATGCTATGCGCTTCTTACAGTGAAATATCATTCACCTTGAAAAAATACAAACATTCGAGGGTAAATGAGTTATGCACTGCTTATAATTACCACAAGCCAACAATGGCAATATCGAAGAACGTGAAACGTCAACGTTTGTGTCATACTTTACAAGAGACGACGACAGTCTCACACATTTGTGCCTGGCAAAAAATAAGTGAAAATCAGACGACTGTACAGATGTGCAGTCTCTTTCACTTACGACAAATCCAGAACAATTCGTAAACTGTAGCAAAGCGAGCCAGCACGCAATGCGAGCATCCTCCTCCGCATGCCCGCTCTCATGCGAGACGAATCGCGATTCCTTCGTGGGAAAAGCGCCGCCAAGCTGTTGCCTTTCGCACGCCTTGTGCTGTCGCGGATGTTTCGCGACGATAGCGTTGTTCGCTGGGCACTCCTTGATCGTTTCTACACGTGTCACGTTGCCACGATAGATTGTGCGACAGCTGTGACATGGACATGACTCAGAGCAGCAACAGAATGTTGCTGTTGCCGAAAGTCCTTTCCATGTCAGCCAGTCTAGAAACTGCCATCAACCGAATCTGCCCGGGACGCTCAACTCATCCTGCCTGACTCACGCGCGAAAAACTGCCATTCTGCGCGAACAGAAGCAAGCGTGCAAGGCGGGTCAGACGAAAGTGGGGTGGAGATGACGAGTGGGACGAGCGCGTTCATTCTGCGGTTGAGAAGGAATGGAACGATCGCGATGGCGCATCAGCGGTAGTGCACAGAGAGGGGGATGATTGACTGAGCATCCCACCCAGGCCAAATCGGGATGGTAGACGGTCTTATATGTTACAGAACGTTGCAGATTGGTCCAGGCGTTACGCCCATAGACTATTTTGCCCACCACCCGTGCTCCATAACAAAATCTAGCTACCCCTCCGATCTGAGTCAGTGGTCATTTTTGTTAGCTCCAGCCACATTTCTCGCACCATTCCAGTGTTGTCGTTCGACTTAGATTGTCAACTTGACATATTCTGCCTTCAATTCGTCTTCTCGATGGCTGCTGCTCACTGCGAACGCACAGGCATTCCACCAGTAGGCTCGCTAGCTCGCGCCGCCAGCCTACCGCTTCACCGGCAAAGCTCGCTTGACGCATTCAGGCGGCGCGTGAGTCCGCTTAAGATCGAGTCCCCTGCAACGGCAGACGAACCCGAGAAAGGGGCCCCTCTGAATCCGTGGGACATTAACTACGACGAGATATTTCCGCAATGTGCGCGGCTAGCGGAGCAATTCAGCCACGTGTCGGTCCACCAGCAACGCACCAAAGAGCGCCACGCGCGGTCTCAAAGCGAGTTGCCGATCGCCGTTCTGCCGCCGCGTCACCAGAGCCGCTTCGAAGAAACTGCCGTCCGTCTCACGTCCTCGCCGCCGTCGCCTGCGGAGAACTCCTCGTCGCGAGCCCGCAGCTTCCGCGAATTGCGCTCTCGCGTTCTCGGCTGCTCTCTCGGCTCGCCATGCACCGTGTCGCTCGCAAACTTGCGTCAACGAGACGAAGGTTCCCGATCGCAAGACGCTGGGCGTTTCGAGGCACATCCGGAAGAGGCGGGCTTGCGTGATTGGTGCTGGGCGAGGCAGGGGAAGAGTAACAGTCTCGGCGGAGAAATCTCCGTAACCGAACCCTGTTACGATGTCGGCGGTGATTACGATAACGGAGCAGACTTCAACGGCGCGCCGAAGCAGCTTAATTTTTCCTGCCCCCGTTACCTGTGCAAGCAGGCGTCTGAACCGCGAATGTCCGGGCCAACATTCAATCATTATGATTGGTCCTCCGATTTTGGCGAAGTTTGCGATCGGCGGGCCAAAAGTTTCGCTCTCGACCGGGTACCCGTGGCGAGCATTTGTGACGCGTATCTCGGGCTTGACGATCTGGACGACGCTGCTTTCTCGGACGACGACGCCTGTTTGTTCACCGAGGAGATGCTGCTTGCGAGCGAAATCGGCACGTTTCGCGAAGAGGTTGCGAACGAAGGCGAAATCAGGGAAGTAAATGTGGAGGTGTTGCCGGGGAATTAAGCGCGCGCGTTGCCAAAGTAGCGTGTGGCGGAGCGATCTTCCGTAAGGGGCAACGGCGCAACCAGAAATCCGCCGCCTTATTGTCACGGCGTCCCGGAGTTTTCTAGGCGGTGGCAGACGATTGGAGCTTGTTCTGCTGTCCGCCGTCCGATTACCCAACTGCTGGATCGAGTGACATGTTGAATTCAGGCCTGCATGCAGCAGCCTCTTTTTCTGTGGGCGTAGCTTTGCCCTGGTTTGTTTATGCATTGTGCATTGTGACACCCAAAAACAACATAATAGAGTCGCCTTTCAGCGACTTGTACTGTATTTACTATTGGTCAGCCTTGCTAATAAGGGATTTACTGTTCACTCTAAACAGTACTTTCCAACTCACCCTTATCTTTATCTTCCTAGATTTCCTAGTGCCATGTGGCCAGGGCCCAAAATATCAGGGTAAAATACCCTTTTTGCCCTTTCTGTAGGCTGCTTTTTTCTAGTTACCCTGATCTAGGCCGGCTATGAATTGTGTTACCCTTTCTCCCAAATAATGGGTTTTTGGTTACCCTTACAAATTCAGCGTAGGCGTTTCGTTACCCTGTGTAGAAAGGGTGGGCTCTGAGTTACCCTGAAACCGAATCTCCCTTAGCGAGGATTCGCCCAGATGCACTGCACCCCTCACGTAACGCCCTGCCGCCCTGCTCTGTGTTCCCAACGTGCGGTGAAAAAAAATTCCCCCGCTGCGCGGAGACCCACCATCAGGCTCCTAGATTCGTTTTGTGGTAGTCTGACGCCTCAGAGTACACCCCTCTGTCAAGATAAGGAGCTTAGGGTTTAGGACTTAGGCGTAGGATGGTATCGAGAGGGATGGAAGATTGGCCAAAGAGCGGTTTCATTATGAGATTGGGAGTACAAATAGGAAGAAGGGGAAGGGGAAAGGGTACACCACCAGTAGTTGGTATCTAATAACTACCAGCTAACTGTAGGCAGTTATAAGGTATGCAAATACAATTCAACACCCTCTTCCTAGTCTGGCTGTCAGAGTTACCTATTTTTTTTAGTCTGAAAAATCAGACAAGCACAACTTCTTTTGTCTGAACTGTCAGAGTTACTTCAAATTTCAAGATGTTAATGCAGTTTCATAACAACATACGGTAGCTATTGTTGGGCTGAAAAACCCCCTTAGGATCTTTGGTAGAGTAAATCTCTGGGTAGAGTGATGTGGTAGCGGAAGCGTTTAATGATGAGACTCTGAACCACCTTGCACTAGTGTGTGAGAACAAAGTGAGTTGATTAAAGCAAACAAGTACAAAGGTTTATATAGGAGTACAAGGAATACGAAGAGATACCGTATAGTTCCGGCTAGAAGACCCGGGGGACTCTACAAATGCTGGAAATCGTGCTCGGGTGGACATTATGGCGGCAACAATTTTTTAAGACCCGGGGTAACCTATTTGTCAATTATCAATCTGATATTTAGGGTGTACGACTCAATTTGGGGTGGGGGGGTCTTATATTCGTAACGAATTCGCGAAAATTTCACGCGTGCGGCGCGTCAGATCTGTGTCAGAATTCGAGTCTGACACAAATGAAGTGTCAGAATTCGAGTTTGACACAAAAAGCGTGTCAGAATTCGAATTTACACTAGTAAAAGCTGACGCACAATATCAATTACAACTACTGTATACAGAAAAGGGGGGTCTTATGATGATTAGAGGCGAAGGGGGGGTCCTCACAAAATCGGCCACAATAAGAGTCCCCCTACCCATACAAGAGTCCCGGGGGACCTTCTTACCGGCGGGTCTTCTAGCCGGAACTATACGGTATGAATGACAACTGTTTTACTGTTGGCTGTTGCGGTTCGATACAGTGCAACTCGGGCAACTGCTCAATATCGAGTCAGTTGTGTGTCCTTGCTGTCGCGCTGCCTTTGTCAAGTCAAAGGTCGCTGACCTTTGACTTTCCTGTAACCTCCAGCGGTTACTTCAACCTCCGAGGGTTGACTCGCTAGTGCCTCGATATGATTTGCTTCGCTTGTGCCTTGGTGTTTCGACACGATAGAAGCGCTTTAGGACCGATTGTTTCCAACACTCCCCTTCGCTTCTGGAGTGTCGCTGACGTGGC